TGATGCAAGGGCCCCGCGCGAGTCGGAAGGACGTGGCGAGGGAGCGCAGGGAACCGCCTGTCTCGACGCACGGCGCTGCAGTAACTAGGGAGGACGTTCCCAGAGCACAGGAGACTGAAAGGCGGCAAGTGACTAGCGGCAGCGGCGTGGGGGGGAGGATAGAGCAATTGGCCACAGCTGCCAGAGCCATGCCGTCATTAGAAGCATCACCACCGTTAACCGCGTCACCGTCTGCAGTGAGCCACTCACTCAACCTTCCCAGTGTGTCTCCTCTGTGGGCGACGGCGGAGGCGGAGGGATTCACAATGCCACGATGTCGTGCTGATAAGGATTTCGCGAGTGAAGCCACATCTCTCCGCTTTGACCTTACGGAGCCGGAGAGGCTGGAGGAGGCGGAGGCGGAGGCGGAGGTGGAGGTGGAGGAGGAGGAGGAGGAAGAAGAAGAAGACGGCAGTGAGTTGACATCCCCGCCCGGTATCCCCGTCACCGACCGCTGCCTCCACTCGACTTCCACGGCCACGGAGGTCTCCGCGGGCCCCGTCCCCAAGACGACAAAGGTGGAATTTCGGCAGGAGACATTAACTAGTGTGTTCAACGAAGGCACAAGAACGTCCACGACCACAGCACTGCGGAGCGTCAGTAGCACGCGTGTTGCCTTGCATACCACAATCACAGCGCGTCCAGTGAGTCGATGCGTGAGCGCCACGGTGCATCAGGCGCAACGACAGAAGAATGTAAAAGTGGAAGAAGTAGTGGACACGCAAGAGGTGAGGGATGACGGTAGGACGAGGAACAACAAAAAGAGGCTGCTGGCGGTGAAGACAGCCTCGCCCGGTAGCTACGCGGCCTTATTGCCCTCTACGGGCTGCACTGCCGGCAGGTCGAGTGTACGACGGTCGATGCAGCAGCAGCAGCAGCAGCAGCGGCGAAAGAACACCGGAGCCGCCGCTGCACAACAGGTACCAGCGGTGAGGAAGAGTGTGTCAACGTCACGGGGGACGGCAAGACAGGCTGTGTTTCATGCGTCAGGACGGGGTGGAAAGAGCGCCGAGTGTGAGGTGCAACAGGTGAATAACGGGGATGGCGGTAACAGTTGTTCTGAGAGGGGCAGTGTTCCTCACCGCGGGGGGTCGTACGCCCAGCTGGCTGCGGTGCGACGAGAATACATGCAGAGGTCAAGACCCGTTGCCACCACGTGCACCAGTGCCCCCACAAGCACTAGTAGCTACGATGGAAAGAAGCAACACTCGCCTAGCAGGAAGTCAACGTGTTCCGCCTCCCGAGAACCGGTGTCCGAGATGTACCTCTCGCAGGAGATGTTGCAGGAGAGAGATGCGGCGTACTGGCGGCGACTTGCTCCTCTTTTGCAGATGAGTGAGAATTGGGATGAAGGCCAGAAGGGGGCTTTAGCCATAGAACCTCTAATTGGGGTTCTAGCAGCTCACCCGTCCCCGTACGCCGGGCTCACCTGGCGGAAGTTTAAGGCGCAGTTTTACCTGAGCAATAGTTTTTCGATGGATGCCTTCTCCCCGCTTTGCGCCAAAGGCACTGAGACGGGGGGGGATGTCATCTTGCCGCTCTCCGAAATGCTGCGGCCATCGTGCGCTGCCTGCGGGCCCAGCGCGCGTGAGTTGTGGATGCAGCGCTTACTCTCCAAAAGTGGAAAGGGGTGGACCTTGCGGCAGCCCTCACGGGAGTGGCTGTATGAGTCTATCCCGCCCTTCACACCGAAGTTCTCCTCCGCCGCGTCATCGCGGCAGGAGCAGACGTCCGACTCACGACTTAAAAAAGATGCACGTGGGTGTGAAGAGGAGGCGCTGCCTTCACCAACGGCGTCGTTAACCTCGCGGTGCGGGACGAGGCCACTGGCACAGGTGGAATGCAGCAGTCATGCTTCTGACGATGACCCTCTTCACGGCGTAGCAGCCGTTGAGCCCGGGGCGCACGCAAAGCAGCAGCCGGCTGGTTCCACCAGCGACAGCGGTCACGATGCGTGTGAGACTCTCACGGCTGCTGTTATTGCGAGTCTGGGGGCGAAGCAGGATTCAGCGTTGCCCCTCTACTCCCCGGCGGCGGACGACGCTACAGCGGAAGTGGGCGATGTGGGTAGTGCGGTGCAGCAACACCCAGCCTCAGAGGGGGCGGAACACGCGACGGAGACGACGGACAATACTCCTGAGCCATCGCTCTGCAAACACGACAACGTTGACACGGAGGTGATTAGTAGAAAACTGGCCGAGCTTGACGACACGCTCGCGCGGCATTACACACGCAACTACGAGGCTCACCTGCAGCGTTGCGAAAAGGAAGTTGATAGTTGCTCAGCGAATGCCTCCGCAGGCACGGAGGCATGTCTCACGTCGCTCGCGGAGCTCACCACCGAAGCGGGGGGTGACAAGGCCCTCGATATGGGCGGCAGCGATCAGGGAGCGGCGGTGGGGGAGAAAAACGTCGCCACGCTGGTCGCGTGGATGGCGGAGCGAAGGTGTCTGCAGGAGCAATTGATGGTTATCGCCGCTGAACGAAACATGTTGGCGGATCAGCTACGCATATACACCACCTACGACGAGGCAAAGATGCGGCGGGATATGTCGAGGTCTGTGCGAGGGGCGCAGCCTCCGCGGGCGGCTTCCAGCTCCGCATCCTAGCGAGCCAACAGCCAGTGCATACGGGCAGGGACTTGCCCTCTCCTTCCCTTTTTCTCACTCACGGAGGTGTGGGGGTGTTTGTGTGAGTGCTCGCTTGCTGCTGTTGTTGCTTCTTTTTTTTTTTTTCTTTTGGCTGGTTGATTAGTTGTTGTTTTTCTCCACTCACAGGGCGACTACGACGGCTAATATTTATTTATTTATTACTATCACCACATGCGCCTTGTCATCCTCATCGTCATGGTGGTTGCTGTCAGTGGGCTGTCATTCCGAAATCCAAGAACCCACGCAGTTTCCGTTTGGGTGCCTCACGCGGGGCTTGCCCCTTTCCGCAAAGACCGCAGAATGTTTTGTTTTGTTTTTCCGTGTTTTGTTGTTTTACAGCAGTGTATAGCTATTTGCGCCATATATATATATATATATATATGTGCACACCAATGGGCACCTGTAGGGAGAGGGAGAAGGTGAGAGAAGGAAGGAAAGGAGGGAGATGAATGCAGTTGAAAACCAGGAGTCACTAAAGACAAGCCAAAACTCATGAACAGAGCACACGTCCCGCTATCTCTTCCTCTCTGCTTTTTTTTCTTTTTTCTTTTTCCAGGTTGGTAGGTGAAGCGGCGCATCTCCCTCTGTTTGTATCTCCCTCTTGTTGGGCGCACATGAAAGGTTGACATGTGGCAGTTGCATGTGCGTGTGCGTAGGGTTCACCTTCCCCACCTCCCACCTCTTCACTCTCGCATCGCCTGTATTTCGTGCGCTACGGTTTTGAATAGTTTGCATTTACACGTGCGTTTCTTTTTTATTTTTCTTTTCTTTTGTTTCTCTTCTTGTGCTTCCGGTTTGTTTTCTTATTATTTTTATTTCCCTAATTTGCGTCGTGCGCCTTGGCGTGGCTAATGTTGCTCAAAGCAAAAACGCCTACAGCAGCCCTCCGGTGATTTGGTTGTCGTTGTTGTTTCTTCTTCACACACTCCCCCCCCCCCCCCCCCTTCTTCGTTCTTGCAGTTTTAACTGTTAGCATTTTTTTTTTTGGGTTTGACTTTCCGTTGGGACCTCGCTGTGTGCGCCGGTGTCGCTCATGCCACAAAAAGCAGCGGCGACGGAAGAGCTGGCGGCCGGCAGTGCCATTGTCGTTCGGGCGCACTCCCGCGCCGATGCGGTGACTGTGTACCAGAGCGAAATGCAAGTGCGGCGCGTCGCGGAGGTCGCACTGCCTGCCACCACCTCCACCGCAGCCGCGGCGGAGCGGTGCGGCGACGAGGAGAGGGAGGACGACGTCCTGCAGCTGCTCTTCGCCATGCCACCGCAGTTTCAGCAGGACTCGGTGCAAGTTCGGTTCGACGAGCACACCGCCGCCCGCGTCGTGCTGCGCGGGGTTCTCTTTGAGTCCACCCCTGCGGTGGACTGCGACGCACCCGTGACGCAGCAAGAGGAGGAGCTCGAGAAGGTCAGGAAACAGATCAGAGAGCTCCAACGGTACCTCAAACTCAATCTGCTCGAGCAGAAGGCCGTGAAGGAGGAGGCGGACCTGCACGCCAGCCTCTTCAAGCGTGCCTGTAGCCCCGTGACGGATGGCCTGCAGGCGGCGCTTGAGGTGGACTTTTGGGAGGCACAGCTGGCGGAGTTGGAGACGTCCATCGAAATCGCCTTGGCGGAGCGGCGGCGGCTGCAAAAAGAAGCGGATGGCGTGGAGTCGGAGGTGAAACGACTGCAGGAAGTTCTCGACGAAATGAAGTACACCTCTACCCCAACAGACACCAGCGCGGCGTCGAATCCGCAGGCGACCTCCGTGTGCATCGTGCTGAAGGTCAAGGAGGCGCTGCCGCACGCGGTGGTGTACGTGTCTTACATGTCCTCAGGCGCCTCCTGGCGGGCGGAGTATGAAGTGGGGCTGGACAGCCATCGGCAGTTGGTGACGCTGCGCTACAACGCCGTGGTGCATGCCGGCGTGGAGGATCTCCAAGACGTGGCGCTCACACTTTCCTCCGCCGTCCCATGCCGCAACAGCGCCGAGCCAAAGCTTGAGCCGTGGCAGCTTCAACCCGGATTGACGATCGGTAACCCCAACTTCCTAGTGATGTGTGCAGCGCATGGGAGTTGCGAAAGCAGTGCGGGTGGCGAGATGGGCATTGAGGCTGCCATGGCGAATGAGATGACGGGGATGATGACCTTCACCGTGCCATCGCGCCACACACTGCGCCGGGGAGGCGCGGCGCTTCGGGTGCCGCTCACCGTCCTGGAATGGAAGGCCACCGTGTCGTTCATGACAGTGCCCGCCGTCAGCGAGAACGTCTTTGCCAAGGCAGTCTGCACAAACGAGAGCGACTACCTGCTTCTCCCCGGCAACGCCACTGTCACGCTCAACGGCGACTTTGTTGCAAACGACTCCCTCGAACAAACCGCCCCTGGCGAGCAGCTCAGCGTGCACTTCGGTGTCGACAAAACTATTGAGGTCCGCCGGCGACTGCAGCAGCAGCTTACCACCAGCATGAAGCCACAACTGTTTGGCCGCGGGTCGCGGCAACGACGGCTCTTCTCCTACACTACGACCCTCAAAAACAAAAAGCGGGACGAGGCCGTCACCGTGACGCTGCGGCAACACGTCCCAAAGTCGGATGAGGAGGCACTCACCGTCCGCCTGCTGGAGCCCAAGAACTACGCCGCGACCGCCAACGAGGAGCAACGCCGACGCCTGGAAGTGGACGGGGTGCTAGAGGTGCAGCTGACGCTGAAGTCCAACGAGACAGTCGAACTGCCGTTCTCCTTCGAAGTTGAAGCCCCCATCGGCGCGCACATCTACGGCCTGTGAGACGTTCATTGCCCCCGCCTTCGCCCTTCTCCAGCACAAACGTTGTGCGTCCATGTAGAGAGAGAGAGAAGCAGAAAAGATAACGAGAGGATGCTGCTCTCACGCAGCCCTGACTGTCAAAACCGTAGAAGCCAATATTATGCACAGCAAAAGCGGGATCAACGGCGACGACGAACGTTCAACTGACGTCCGCCTCTCCCGTTGCAAACGATAACCAAAACATGTAGTTCGGCTATGAACCACACGCAACGCACCTCTGCGTAGATGCCGCCCAATCCCCCATCCAAAAGCAAAAAGCAAACAAACACTAAAAAAAAACACGTTTCTACTCAGTCAATAAACGAGGGTGAGTGAGATGAATTTTGTTTTATGGTTTCACCAACAACTGAAAGCCTTCTCCCATTTTTATTCTTATTTCTTCCTTGGTTTTTTTTACGTCTTCGGCCACTACAACAAACAAGAGGGCACATACCGCAGAACAAAAAAAGAAAAAGTGACTATACACCAACCCTCACAGTCTAACAGCCCAAACAAAACAGAAACCCTCTACAATCGACAATGCAAACAATTGTTAATCCATAAATGATGTACTCAATTCAATACTCACTCCGAGCGCTCTGCATGACTGGAGATAATGGACAACATGCACTACCAGCTGACGACGCCCGTGACGGGCTTTGTTTCTCCCCACTCCCCACACGCACCCTAATTTCCTCTTTTGCTGCTGCTGCGATGCCGTGGTGGTGGTGGCGGCGGGAGGAGGAGGAGGGAGGGGGCGTGCCACTGCTGCCGCGAATGATGCGTGGAAATGGAATTACCATCGGAAGGCGCCTGGCGCAAGTTGACGACGCGATGCCGTGTGCATACTACCTCAACTGTTACTCGTACTACTGAAGCGGCGTGCCCACCCT